GGGCCAGTGTCCAGCAGGACATTCCTTGGTGCAAAATTTTCTTGCCGTGATACTCCAGTGGAGGCATCAGAAAATGTCTTGCTTCTTGGGGTAGGGAACAAAGGCAGAAGAAGAAAAACATGTCTGGGGTTGCAGTAGCTTTCTGTGTCCTTTTTCTCATTTGCTTTCATTAATTCAGTTGTGTCTAAGGAGATGCTGAGTGGGCGGGAATTTGTGGTAACCCACAGTAATATGAATGCTTTGACCGTTATAAAGAGCATCTGGTTTGTTTCATCAGTATTCTGCTGGCTAACCACTCATCTTGATCATCTTTTTCTTCAGGTGAAGCAAAAAAGGTGGAGGGGAATTAAAAAGAAAGGTATCTAAATAGTTTGAGGCAGTCTAATGTTTTGCTTTTATATGTTTTTGATTTTGGAACTAAGTGATGGTGAGGGTAATAGTGGCAACAAAATCTTAAGTTAGCCAAACATACTGTGACCAGATGCCGTTGGTTTTGTGTGGTCTGGAATAGGAAGAAGCCAGGAATGGTACCTGCATGCTGGAGGTGCCTCTCCTCAGCTGCAGGTGTATTTGCTTGCCAGGAAGAGAAAGATGGATGATGTACTGAAATGAGGAATCATGCCAAAAGCAGGAGATGCACTCTTCCTCATTTTTGGGTGGCTGTGCTATTTCAATTGCTTGTGTTGGCCCTGTACGGGAATGTGCCTTTTTGAACTGGACCCAAAACACAACGGGGAAAAATGCAAGATTTTACGTTAGTGGAATGTGGATTCCTGAAACTCTTAAATTTGACAATGGTATTAAACAATTTGGCCTCAGAAGTGAATTTTTATAAACTTGTCAAGTTTCTAAATTTTTGCTGCAAAGAGGCATCTAAGGCATGTAGTGTTTTCGTCTGCCAGATTAACTGTTTCTCCACGGTGGATAAGAACAATATGTAGTAATCTCTCTCCAATACTCAAAAGGACTTGAAATTTTGGGGTGCGTGGGTCACTATGACATTTTCTGTGAAGGCTTGAGTTGAAACGGATGGGACATCGGGGTCCATGCTTCCAAAAGAGATGGGGGGAGGTTGGGCTAAAGAAAGAATTGAGTTCAGCATAGGTGAGAGGGACACAGCAGTTTCTTGGGCTACATTAGTTTCCCCGTAGCAAGCATCCTATCTGGCAGGATGGTCAAGCTATCACCCAGTAGAGCCGTGTTGCCCAGGACTGGGAGCGAAGAAAGATTTACAGCTTAACTAGGGATGCTGAACCTGTGTCTGGATACAGTTAATCTCTTTTGAAAATACTTAGGTTGAAAGTAATTGCTTGTTGGCTCTTCCTTCACAGCCACAAGAGAGCATTCATCTTGATTAAAGAATATTTGCAGGTATTTCCTCTTTGCCAGGACGCTAGAGAGTGTTATCCGTGACCGTTGCTTTTTAATGCTAAAGGAGCAAATTTGTCAGTGTTGTGTGGCCATTTTTCAAGTTCAACTACAAGACTCATAGACACAGACTTTTTTAATGTCGCTATCATTTTTTCATATGTGGGTTACAAATCACAATGTTAAATAAATTGAACTACTTATTCAAGCTGAAAAGCCTTTAAAAATCTTATGAGGTAGCAGAATACCTTCAGATTTTGGATGGGTTTGATGTGTTTAGAGTCTAACCTGTGCCAAAATAGGTAGTCTTAATTAAAACTAATGTTATTCTTGTTTAAAACTAATCTTAAAACTTAGCCAACACATAAACAAAGAATACAGTTTCATATAAATTAAATTTATTTAAATTAAACTAATTGCAAGCAGCATGAAAACTCTTGATACAAAGATAACTGCAGTGACTGTAGTGGTGGAGTAAATTGGCTTTAGGGTGTGTTTGGTAGTTTAAAAAAAAAAGTGCACCTTGAACTGCTGTTTCCTTTTAGGAACTTCTATCCACTCAAAACCAAAACTACCCTAGTAGAAAAACATCTGTTTTCTTATTCACAGATTAAACTGCTTGGAAGTGCTCATGATTTTAGTGTGCATCCAAAAGGTGATGATGCAGGGCTTGTAGATGGTGCTGCATGCAACCATGATGGTGTTTGGGGAAGGTCAGCTGTATATCCTATGCTGTCATGCATCATGGATGCATGCGATGGCTGGTATTGCTAAAGGAAAAGCCATCGGCACTATTCCTTGGGTAAATCCTTTGTGAGCTGTAGTTCGATTAAACCAGTGTTTCCTGATTTCCTTTGACAGTAAGGTTTCCGTTCCTTCTTTCTGGAACAGTTTTTAGCTGGATGAGCTTTCTGAATGTTACTGTGCAGGTGTGTAAGCCCTCGTGGTGGTGGCAGGAGCTGGGCGGTCAGGGATGATGAGAGCAAGAGGCTGGAGGGAGCAGCAGGGCCAGCCTACATGTGTTGGAAATGTTCGCGGAGATGTGGTGTGAGATACTTTGCTTTCAGCATCTTTCACGTGGCCTGAGAAAGCTTTTGTTGCCCACTCAAGGACACTGGTTTTCAGAAAGGAGGGCTGAAAATGCGAGAGTTTTGTGTAGTCAGAGATGGAATCAAGTGACAAAACCCCAGAAGTGGGCTTATTTGGAAGCATGCTGCTATTCATTGTGTGTGTCTGGATTGCTCGCTTTTTTATTATAAGAAAGTTATCAATCCCAAAAAACTTTTCCAAAAGAAACTGATTCCTACTTTGTAGTACCTGCAATTTAATTCATTTCTTTCAAAAATACTCATTCAGACCTTCATGTCTTATTTATTTGGCACTTTTTTCCTAATCCAGATGCTGTCAATGTCCTGTTACATGAACAACACAGCTTTTGTCTGGGGGAAACCAGAAGAGGTTTGTATTTATTGGTCCTTTGACTAATGGTTCTTGAAGCATTGCTTATGCTGGGAAGCTTCTGTCTTGTCAGCAGAGTGATTTCTGAAGACATGCAAAGAGTGCATTTGCTGCAGGACTGAAGTTAGGTGCAAAAACCTAAGTAAACCTTTTAGGGTAGATAAGGAAGACTGCAAGTCTGAGAACGCTGAGGGCACTGTAGGAAAAGGTGCAAGTGATAACAGCTGATGAAGAGCTGGCTGAAAGGAGGCTCCACTACCCATGCTACAAAAGGCATTTCACAGAGAATTCCCCAAGCATTTTCCTTGGTTTTGGCCAATCTTCGCTGCTTCCTTCCAATCCTGTGCATCATTACAATAGCTGCAAACAGGTATATGTATATAACATGTAGGAAATTCCATCTCTGCAGAATCAAGGCCGAAAGAACTAGATTGAGTAAAGCACCTACTCGCCTTCCTTCCGTGTTCCAGGTTTGAAGCAGATACTTCAATGACCCCTACAAAAAAGAATTCAGACAGAACATTTACATTCTGTTAATGTCTAGCTATCTGTCTTCTACAGAACAATTACATATAAAATGATTAATATTTAAACTCTAGTTTACATTTTCTGCAGGCAAGTTTGTGCTTCAGAGAAGTATGTAGTTTTAATGGCACAGAGTTGGAAAAGAATTCTGTAAAGTTCTGAACACAGTTTTGTTGTTCTTGAAATCTTTTGTCTCTTTCTAATGTAGTTACTTTGTTCATTCAACAGCTATTTTTAATGGGAGTTCCTGCTAAACTGTATGTGTATTTTTAGAAACTCAGCAATTATAGATGTAACAGTGCTGAGTTATTTAAAAATACAAACAATACAACGCAGTACTTGTACGTTTCAGAATAACTGTTAAATGCCTGCATTTTCTTTTTCTGTTTATTTGGATGCACATGTACTTTAGCTCTGTTCTTTTAACAGATTTCTCTTTCAAATATTTTTCAGTAGGCTGTCTTCCTTTAAAAGCTTGAGTTTTTCGTCGCATTCTTTGCGGTAGTTTACCGGACACTTCTATCAGATACGCACTTACAAGGGTGTCCATTGTGTTGAACTTTAACACTTTTTCTTTTGCTGTGCAGGCCAGTTTCAACAGTTGCTCTTTAGCTTCTAGTAGCGTGCTTTCAAAGTGAACACGTTCTGTTTCAGGTGAAGGAGTTGGCTTTTTTATGATCCACAGTGTCTTCTATGTTCTGTTGTTATAAACTGAATTTTATGGCCCCTTTGTGGCAGTTGCAGGGTATCAGGTAAATTACTTCCTTTTTCTGGGCCCTCTGCTGTGCAAGAAGGTGATCTTTTTGTTGAGGTTTTACATTTGATCTCATTTCCATTGAACTTAGTGGCAAGAATTGGGTGCTTGACAAGTCCTTCCCATGTTGCAAAATAGCTGAGTAAAAAGATGATCCATTAATTCCCTTTCTGCTGACTTACTGATATCGTCTTATGCTGAGGTTCCCTAACCCTGCAAAACTCAACTTGGATTCATGTTTGAGGGTAAACATCAGAGTCTGACTCCCCGATGCTTCGGTTGAACCGATGCCGAGGCACTGCGAGCGGAGCTGTTGTGTTGTGGGGGTGACAGCAGGCATCCCTCCTCGGGCGCACAGGGTCGTGCGGTCCAGAAGCAGAGGTGCTGGGTTGCCCATCACGGGGGGTGGCAGTACCGGGGTGCAACCCAGCCACCTGGGGGGGCCTCCAGCTGCTGCTGTAGCTTCTCAGCTGTGATGGTTGGTGGGCAGCGGTGTACTGGTGTGACACCTGGGTGTCTCGTTTGGGGTGTCACCTCGCTCTGTTACGACAGCAGGTGATGTTCGGTGGGATGGAGGTGGAATGATCTCTGCAGCCACTTCGAGAAACACTTCTGCTTGGAACTCATCCAGGGGTAGAAAGATCATCGAGACTGTGAACAGAAATCTAAGCATTGAAAGTAGTAGCTTGTAAGAGCTCCAGCTTGTATATAGTATACTATTTACACAGTCTCTGGTGAAGAATAAAAATGTAACACAAGAACTAGCTCCATCTCTTGTTATTCCAGGTCAGTGTCTCAGGGGAAGATACTGAAGAAGATGCAGGCACGCTGAAAACTTCAGAAAAGTGAGCCATGCGTCCTTCTGAAAGCTGAAAAGTAGCCCTCCGATAGGGTCATGAACCTAAGACAAGTCTTTGTGTCTGTACTGATGTTTGGAGTAGCTGGTCTACTCCTCTTCATGTATCTGCAAGCTTGGATTGAAGAACAACATACAGGTATGGTAGGTTTTCTTTCTTTCTTCTGTTTGTTTTTTTTTTTTTAATATAAGTGCATCCATGACTTCAAAGATGATTGTAAAGTCTGTTAAATACATGTGGACAGTTGGGGGGAGTCTCCCCATTTGGCAGTAGAATGGCATTGAAAACAGACTTGTTTCAATTGCTACACTTCATATAAGCATTAAGAAATTTCTTGAGTTGCATGAAAAGATGCCCCTAGCTATCTAATCGTATTTTATCAGCTTCATTTGCAAAAGCAAGTGTTGCAAAAGCATATTGTGCATGCGTGAAGCCAAGCAAGTCCAGTTTAGATATAATTCTGTATGCTGATTTTCTGTGGGTTTTATACATTTTATTTTGTGTGGCAAAGCAATTTTTGGAGAATTACTGCTATGTCTTCTAGACAAAAGTGGTCTTCTAAGCAATACTGCTTATGTGGAATCATCCTATCCCATTTTTTTTGTTGGTTGTTTGAGACAGAATTAGATACTGGACTTACAAGACTTTTTTTATATATAGCATCAGGATCATATTGCAACTTTGGATAAATCTATGTTAGCATTGGCTCAGGATTACGCTCGTGAGTTGAATTTCTGTTGTTCCCCATTTACCATATTTTGGTTTGCACCACAGGTTGATCTAGGTTCCTTTATGGATGAAACTAAGCCAGGCTATTTACCTCAACCTCTAGTGGATGCTCAGTTCACAGGTCCAGGCTAGAGTTAGTCTGAAGTAACCCCCCTGAAATGTGTATAGGGTGGATGTCAGTAAGGTTCTTAACAGGCACTATTTTGCTCTGCAGATCCACTTCTGTTGTGCCATGTTACTTGATGGCATATCCTTGATTTTACTTGTATACTTGTTTTGTTTTGGTGTTTGGGGGTTTTTTTGCTTGTTTGGTTTTTAGGGTTTTTTCCCCATTAACAATACGGAATGTTCCCAACTTGTTAAGAAGTCCTGACTTCTATGTCCTCTTGTCTCTATTGCTCCGCTTCCATTTCCTCTGTAAGACTCTTACTTTATATTATGCTGATACCATTGTGAAGAAATACATCTGTATAATAATATAAATACATTAGTCTTCTGGCTTTATTGATCTGTGCTTTTATTCTGTATGAGCTGCTAGGCTCCGGTGTGTTTTGGAGAGCAGAGGTGGCAGTGGTGAGGGGGGATGTAGTGCATTATTCCTGCAATTTTTTGACACTGACCTTGAGGGTTTTTGTGCAGTGATCACAACATTAACCTCAGCTTGTTAACATTTCTGGGCTGCTCCAAAGTATTTACAAGCTTGTGTTAACAAAACTGTTAAAAGAGGTAGTACAGGCTCCCTTTGGAAAGGTTCCCTTGTCATCAGCTGTTGACACAAGGGTGCTGGCAGAAACAGAGCGTACTGTGGAGGGAGCCTTCCTTGAAAATCCCTACTATTGTCAGGAACGTTAAGGGCAGATATCCATGCTTTCAGGGTAGTTCAGGAATGTAGATGATGACTGTAGATTATTGATTTATTTACTTGCTGACATTCTTCACATTCCTTGCATCTTTTCTTGTGCTGTAATTAACCTTTCTTTCCTTGCAGTGCTCCTTGTTACTATTTCTCTCTGTTTTTTCCACTCCTTTCTTCTGTCTGTATGTATCTACCATTAAAAAGAAACAGGAAAAATAAAATAAAGGGGGAATTAGAACATACTGTGTTCTTTTGGGCAACGGTATGCTTTCTTTGGGGTTTTGTTTGATGTATTGCCATAATCTTCTTCGGGAGAGAGGCTTCTTGTACATATAAGTCATTTCCATGTAAAAACATTTCCATAACAAAATGGAAACTATCGGAGAATAACAGAATGGTTAGTGAGCTTAAAGTGTGACTGCAGTTTGGAACGCCCTTTTATCTCACTGGACTGCTGTTGTGACAGCACTTCAGCAAGATCCAAAAAAATGAATTTTGGCATTCTCTACAGTTGCTAGGTCATGCATGTTGGAAAGAGCATGGCGAAAATCATTCTTTGGTGTCTGCTCTTGCCTCTTCTTCCAATTTAACACGTAGAGAGCCATTCTTTTTTATTTCAAACACCTGTATCTCCTCTAAACCTTCTGCAGCTTAGTTCTCTAATGTTCCCCCCACCCCCGTATGCTGCATAAGAGTCGATACGAAATAAAACATATTTGCATATTCGCAACACACATTAGTTTAGTTACGGGCATTTTGCACTCTTTTTTCTTTTTTTTTTTTTCCTCTTCTGCTGTGTTTTTCATATTGCCATGTGTTGTGCACTGTGGCTTTTTTGGGGATGAGCTGTGTCTGGAGAATCCCAAATTGACAAGTATCTTTGTAAGGATTTTATGTGCTCCTTTAGTCGTATCACTAGTCGCACAGCTGTAAGACAGCTAGTTTTAATCTGCAAGTGGCTGAGCGTGTGATTTGATGTTCTATTAAAAAATGGAAAGTGCGCCTCGTGCTTCTCGACTGCCGTGCTATGAGCCTGTAGAGACAAGTGTTTGTTGTAGGCAGAACTATTTTTATCTTCCACGGTGCTCTGCTCAAGACCTACAGCATTCGCGTTTGCATTTGGTTGCTGAAGGATGGAAAGTTGGCTGCGTTTGAGTTTAGGAAAGTATCTTTTTTGCACCAGTGAGGTGCTGCTGGTTACCACCCAATTCCTCTGAATAGCTGACTTGGAGCCTTTATAAATCACAATCACTGGAAGAGATAGTACATTTTACTTGATTGTTGTTTGTAATGTTCATACTTATTTCTCAGGCTCTCCTAGCTGTGGCATGAATTATTCCCAATCAGATTTAGATTTTGTGGGGAATTGGAAAATTGTATGGCAATATACAATTTCCTTGTTAGTGTTTCTCCTATTAAAGTCCGACTATTTGCTTTCACGCTCATCATTCTCATTGCCACCTTTTCTCTTTCTAGGTTCATAATTTTTCACACTAGACCTAATGCCATTTTTCTTTCATAGTTTGACTTCTTTCTCTCTTTTTGGTGCTCTTCTTTCTACTTGCTCTTCGCATCTCTGAGGTCTCAGCTGTGATTTGATTCCCCCATTTGTCTTATTTTGCTCTAGACCGATCTTATCTAAGCATGTTTTTTTCTGATTTACTTTTGCAAGCTTCCTTCCTGACTCAAATTTATCCAGCCCAGGAACACCTTCCCTAATCTTTCATCCTGTCCATCTACTTCAGATGCACCCGCAGGTTCGGCAGCTGGATGCGTCTCTCGGCACAGCCATTTCTTCTGCTCCCTCCCACTGCGCTTGGACTTTTCAGATTATTTCTTGTTCGTCATCCCTATACCTTAAAAAAGAGAAAATCTTTCATTTAGAGATGTCTAAGAAACAGCTAAACAGCTGCTAGCTACATGGTGGTCCTCTCTGATGGCTTTTCAGAGACATTAGCAGACTGAGAGAACAGGTAAGTTTCTTGGTTTGGCTCTGTGCACAGAGCGTATAAAGACAGGATGATATATCCTTACTTAGACGCAGCAGAGCCCTTCTGTTGGGTGTCTTCAGTTCACTTCAGTGGAGTAGTGAGGAACAGACTTGTCAAGAATAGTCCGACATGAGTGTCAACACATGCAGACTATATCTGGCTGAAAACTTCATTGACATTGATAATGTAATATATATGGAGCACTTCAAGTTCTCCATGTATAAATATATTCACTTATGTATAAATTCATATGCATAAATAAAGCTTGATGTGAATTCAACTAAATCCTACAGCTTTACTTGACAGTTCTCCATACGGTCTTGCATTCTTCAGTGAAAGCATCAAATATTGTGGCACTGATTAAAAAGCAATTACTATTTATTACATGCTTAGTAATTTCCAGCATGTTAATCTTACACAGGGGAAGAAAACTGCTGGGTCTTCCAGAGTTGATGTTGAGTTTTATACCAAGAATCACCTGAATTAGGGAGGTGTGGGGTGCAAAGAACATTTGCATTTTAATCCTACTATGTTACAGATGTGAATTGGATTTTTAAGTTAGGGATGGGTGTGGGGTGCAAAGGACATTTGCATTTTAATCCTACTATGTTATAGATGTGAATTGGATTTTTAAGTTAGGGATTCTAATTTTGTACTTTAAAACTCTTCTTTTTTACGGGGGCTGATATGATTTAGTGTGACTGATTACTGCAAAATAATCTGAGAATATCTTTGTGAGTAGATCTGTATGCTGGGCTTGTGTGGGGTTTTGTTGTGGGATTTTTTTTGTCCTCTTAAAGTTTATGTAAGTCTTTCTTGTGAAGTATGCCTAGTAAATTAATGATTATGAAGGACTACCTCAGTGTTTTCATGGGATGCAGTATGACCACTAATTAATGTGAAGAAGGCTGCACTGCCTCTGTCCTCCCATAGATTTCTGGTTACTGAGGGTGGGAAAGTCTGCCTCTTCTCTTTCCCAGCAGTTTTGTATCTCACCTTAAGGATACTGGGGGTTTTCTGCATGCTTTCTCCTCCCTTTGCAGGGTGTGGGTGGCCAGGATCCTTCTGCAGGCTGAGTGCTTTCCTGCAGTTTTCACGCATCCAGCTCCTGAGTAGCTTCATCACAGAGACCTCGTCCCCATTCCTCAGGCCACAGCTTTTGTTTTTGTGAAGAATCAGAATAAAAATTCAGAAAAAAATTCCATTTTAAGAAAAGTTTGAAATTCCATGAACTGACATGAGCTGTCTCAATTTAGTCTGCTATTGCTGTAGCTATCCAGGCTGTATCCATACTACCCTGCGTAAGCAGGTGGGCTTTTTTTCCTACTTTGCCAGGCTGGGTAATCCAAGAGGATCTTTTGGGTCCTTTGGTAACCTGGTGAGATATTTTGAGTCTGTAGAGCCTTCTTCCTTGACACTCTAAGTAGCAAATGAATGTGTGCATACACACTACTAATGCTTAGTCTTTGTTGTTTGTGCGGGTTGATTTTTAATTAAAGCTTGCCTAAATGGAGAAACATTCATGTGGCTTAAAGGACAGTTCACATGCAGTGAATCGCAAG